CCTACAGAAAATTGGGATAGAAGGCCTCTACTTCAATTTGATAAAAGCCATCTATGACAACCCAACGGCTAAAATAGTTTTAAATGGGCAAATGCTGAAGTTTTTTTAATCTCAGATCTGGTATAAGACAGGACGTTCTCTATCATGCCTCATATTCAATATAGTTCTGGATTCATTAGATAGAGCTATTAGACAAGAGAGAGAAATAAAAGGAATAAGAATAGGTAAAGAAGAAGTTAAATTATCATTATTTGCAGATGACATGATACTTTACTTGGAAGACCAAAAAACTCCACCAAGAAGCTACTAGAATTGGTACAAAAATTAAGTAGCATAGCAGGATACAAAGTCAATACCCAAGAGTCAATAGCGTTCCCCTACACAGATTACAAACATACTGAGAGAGAAACAATACCTTTTACAATAGCACCACAGAAAATGAAATACCTTGGAATTCATCTAACTAAAGAAGTCAGAGATCTTTTCAAGGAAAATTACAGTGCTCTGAATAAAGAGATCATAGAGGATTTTAGAAAATGGAAAGACATTCCCTGCTCCTGGATGGGAAGAACCAACATTGCGAGGATGATGGAACTCCCAAAATTGCTGTACAGATTTAAAGCAAACACTATCAAGCTACCAGCAACATACCTCAGAGATCTAGAAAAATTGTTCCTAAAATTTATTTGAAACCAGAAAAGACCTAGAATAGCAAAGGCTATCCTGAGCAACAAAGACAAAGCAGGAGGCATTACAATTCCTGACTTGAAATTACACTACAATGTTACTTTGATAAAATCAGCATGGTACTGTCAACAAAATAGACCTGAGGATCAATGGAATACATAAGAAGACACAGAAACCTCTACAAACACACTCAGTCACCTTCTTTTTGACACAGGTTCCAAACGTGCTTACTGGAAGAAAGATAGCTTCTGTACCAAATGGTGCTGGAAAAACTGGCTCTCTACATGCCAAAAACTAAAATTTGATCCAGGTCTGTCACCATTCACTAAGCTAAAGTCAAAATGAATTAAAGATCTAAACATTAAAACAGAAACACTAAAACTCCTGGAAGAGAATGTAGGAGCAACTCTTGAAGAGATTGAGAGGGCAAAGAATTCATGAACAAAAATCCAATTGCACAGTTAATATTTGAAGGAATTAACAACTGGGACCTCCTCTTATTGAGACGTTTTTACACGTCAAGAGAAATTACCAACAAAGTGAAAAGATGACCAACATATTCAGAAAAAATATTGACTAATAAACATTCAGACAAAGGTTGGCTTGCTAGAATTTAAAAAGAACTAAAAAACGTTAGGGACCCAAAATTTAAAGCCCCAATCCAGAAATCAGCATCTGAGTTGAACACACACTTCTCAGTGGATGAAATTAAAGAAGTGAATAAATATATGAAAAAAATGCTCCACATCACTAGCCATCCATGAAATGCAAATTAAAACAACACTGAGATATCATCTCATCCTACAAAGAATGGCTATTGCAAAGAAATCAACCAACAACAAATGTTGGAGAAGGTGTGTTGAAATAAAAAAAAACACTTCTCCACTGCTGGTGGGAATGTAGACTGGCACAACTATTATGGAAATCAGTGTGAAGACTCCTTAAAAAACTAGCCCTAGAAATCTCATTCAAACCAGGTATCTCCTTACTGGAAATTTTCCCGGAGGAAATGAAACTTCATATCATAATGATATATGTATACTTATGTTTGTAACAGCACCATTTGTGATAGCCAAATCTTGGAAACTACCAAGATGCCCATTACATGAGGAATGGATGAAAAAGATGTGGTATTTTTATACAATGGAGTACTACTCAGGTATAAAGAATGATAAACTCGAAGCCGTAATATTTAAGTGGATGCCACTTGAAGATATACTTATAAGCGAAATAAACCAGACTCACATGTGTAAACATCATATAGTCTCCCTAGTATAAGAACTCAAAAGAGGAAATGCAAATAGAAAGGTATAACACAATTAAAAGGAAAGTGAGATCTTGAGGATTGGACAATGAAGAGAAATCTAGGAGAAAAGCTAGGAAACATGACAGGCGCAAACACATACATTTATATGCAGAAGATGGTTAAGGCAATGATCCTGAGATTCTTCAGCATGTTTTTGAAACTAGCAGTTAATTGTTAGGATTGTCACCCTGACTAATTATATGTGCTGATACCTGCAAATTAAGCAACTGCACTGAAGACAGCCGTGTGTAATGGTAGGTCATGCTTGGAATGCCTGTCAATCTGGTCTTCATAATATGTACTACTTGTCATGACATACGAACTACTGACATATAGTCTCTCATATAAATGTTTGTTTTTAAAAAAGGGGTTAAAAATGAAAACAAACAAGAAAATATTTGTCACAGACTGTCCTGCTACAATGCTGTATATGATTAGATTTCTAAATTTCTGTGTGAAAATGTGTAGCTACATATTCCTATTTTTAGGTACTTTTTGTTTTTTTAAGTTTTTTTCTTCATATTCTGGAGGGGATTAAAGTTTAACATATCAATACCTGATGGAAAATACCTGTTCCATGTTATGCCTAACATGTTTGATATTCAGACAGATAGTGAGGTCAAGCTCAATTGCCTATGTTGTAGGGTAGTAACAATAAATTTCTCTTATGGATGGTTAACAACCTAAATTTATAGACCAGAAATTAGAGAAAAAGCAGGGCTGCAAAGACAGCCAACATTTTGGCTCTAGCCTTTCAAGATAAGTGAAGACTCAGGACATAGGAAATCCTGTATTGTAACATCATATAACTCAGTTGTGTCCCAAATTTCCTTGTTAAGGAGATTATGGGGCCAAAGAGGAAAGTATTAATGATGTATAGTGTGCCTAAGGAGAGTCACATGGAGAGAAAACATTCTCTCAGGCTTTCACAGTGAGGAAATTGGTCAAGCAATGGCTGTGACTCATTCTCTAGGCTGACACTGACAAAGTATCTACAAACTGTGGTACAGCGTTTCAGGATAAATCCTGAGGTGATTTGACTGACCTTATCAGATACAAAAGTTACATTTCTTGTTATATAGGTCTTGCTTTATCTTAGTCTTAGCCATCCAGTAGAAGAGTATAAAATATAAAGCCATATTAATATGCTGAGCTGTAAAGGGCTCAAGTCAACAACTTCTGACATTTGCAGTCTTACAGAAAACTCTTTACTATTGTTGACTACTGGAGTATACTGGAATATTTTGCTGAACTCATGCACCTGCAATATTTAAATGACAATAGAATGCCCTTCTCTGTCAAAACTAAACTAAAACATGGGATACAAATGAAGGACCATTTGTACCTGTAGATTCAAAATAGTTAGGATAGATATCCAGCCTCATTCTCTTAATCCAATGGATAGAAAGATTTGTTCTAATAGTGTTTGTTAACAGGATAGCATGTCTGCATCTTGTACAATGAATAACCACTAAGACAACAATATGCAATATGCTAATTATGGAAATCATGCTAGTATTCAGTTTTGAAACTGTCGCATTACTGCTTGTTTCTCAATAAAATTATAAAAATAGATAATATATAAATCATTGTTAATCAGCTATTCTTGTTTTGGAAATCTGTAATGTATGTGTTGTTACATGTTACCCTGTTTTTGTCTTTGCTTTTGTTTTTCTTACTCTTGCTTTTACTCTTCAAAATAAATGAAAAGTATAATTAAAAAATAAAGAAACTTTAAAGAGACTTTTGCAGGTTAAAAAAACCCCAAGTATTTTGTATTCATTTTTAGGTATAACTAGGTTGTATTTTGATGTATACATCATGAATGTTTAAATTAAGATATTTTAAACATTCATTGCCTAATTTTTTGAACTGTAGGACTTTCTTGTCACTGTGATTAAGCTTGATAATTTTCTTGACCTTCAACTAAGTACGTCATATTGCATACTTTTCAGTTTGTTGATTTCAGCTAAAATTTGAGAGTTACATTAAATTCTTTTAAAAGTGTATTTGGTACATGGTATCACTATACATCTCAGACTCATAGTTATCCTCTTGTTTTCAGCCTCCCAGGTGCTGGGATTACTGGCATGGGACCACCATGCCCAGACTATTAAGTTTCTTACATTTGAAAGTGTGTTTTGTCTGAGATGTTGATGGTGGCTAGAAACTTGTGCCTACTGTTCTGTTCTCCACATGATATGTTATGAGAACATAATGTGCTATGGAAAATAGGAATATGACTTTTTGATGGGGAAATATTAAGTCTGAATCCCCAAACCTCAGTTATCATGTAAGATGCCCCAGGCATGTAGATATTGAGTTCTTTCCACCTGTTATTCTCTGAAAATTATAGTAATAAGACAAATAAATAAGTTACTAAATGGAAATCATTCATCAGAATCAATTAATGTTTTATAAGAATGTATTTCAAAACTTATTGCTGCAGTAGGTTTTCTTTTAAACATTTTACATTTTTATCCAATTTAATCCTTCCAGTAATACATTAAGCTAGGAGTATCATAATTTTCATATAAGAAAGACACCCAATTGACTTACACTCATAACAGTCTAACATGCAAAAGTTGTGATTGAACCTGGAACTATGTCTCACTGACATTTTTTCCTCAGCACTGTGATGAGAGTGTGCATAACAGTTTATAGGAGGCATAAGGGCTTTAGGATGAGTATAACTACATATTTACACATTTTAAGTGTAAAACACACATTTTAAGGACCAAGAACAGTGTCTTACAGTAACTGAATATGAAATAGATCTTGAATTGTAAACATAGTATAGAAGGATGTTCTTTCCCCTTGAGATAGGGTCTTAATGTGTTGCCAAATGTGGTCTTGACCTACTGGCCTCAAATTATCTTATTTCCATAGCTCCCAAGAGGCTGGCACTAGAAGCATAAGCCATCATACTCAGCTGAATTATTGTCCTTTCTCTACAAACTATTTCTTTTCACTCTGGTGGGGAACAGTTTTTCCAGTTATCACTTACTTGTTCATTGACTCTTTTATAGAAGACAGCAAGTACGAAGATAGCTGCAACTGGGGGTCCAAGATAGCTAGAAACTGATGACATATAATGGAACAATTGTCCATTTTGAACTGTTTGTATTAATGGGACCCACATAATGCTGATGACAAGTAGCAGCAAGACAAATAACCTGATAGGAAAAAAATGATTTAAATATTAAACAAAAGCATTACAAGCTCTTTCATTGCACTTAAATTTTGAACTCAGTCTTGTGACCTTTCTCTGGCTTTTCCAAACAAAATCAAGCTCCTTGACATTGTGTAATCTCATACCATGTCTAATGATTATCTGTTAATGAAATTGTAATAGTTACTGTCTTATGATTGGTCAGAATATGTTCAACTATGAGATTAAAATATGTTTATGAAACAACTGAAATGCCATCAGTTGATTAATATTTTTCACATGTAATTATTAAAACAGAAATACACATCACACTTTTTATTTTTTTTTTAGCTTGAGGGCTTCTAATTCTGTTTGCATAGATTAGAATTAAAATAACTTGTAATTCCAATTACTGAATGTATTGGTAAGAAATGGTAATTTGTACACGTACTACTCAATTAAGCTAGTAGGTAGATTTGGTAAAATGCTATTAGATATTCCTGGTCCCAGGATCTGATTACTGTATATCTAGTTTCCATGTGTCAGACTTATATTTTGTTGTCAACAAATCTTTGCTCTTTTCTTTGGCTCTTCTATAGATGATGGCAAACAGGAAGATAGCTGCATTCAGAAGCCTAAAGTAGCTAGAAGGTGATCACAGATAATGGACCAGTTGTCCATTTTGAAGCACCTGTGTCAGTGGGATGCAGGATGCTTATGACAAGAAGTAGACTGACAGGTCTTCTAGGAAAACAAAACTACTTAAATATTAAACACAAACATAGCCTCAGAACTGACTGTGAGGCCAGAGTTGCAGATCATTTAGAGTACATTCATCCAAGAATAAGGGGGCTCCCTCTCACTGTTTCTCCACAATTCTGCTTAAATACAATTTCCTCAGAAGTATTCTTTGAGACTTTTATGAAATTGTCACTATCTTTGCATCCTGCCTTAATAGTTTAGAACTTCTAATCACCTAATGAATTTTATATTTATTAATTGTTGTCCTCACAAAATGATAAATTGTATGAAGCAGGAATTTTAAAAGATACTGCTGTTTCATATTCGTGATCCGAAAAATGGCAGGCATTAGATAAAACAGGAAAAGAAAATTTTGGTGCCCAACATCACATAGCTCTTGGTGGGGTTCCTGTATCTTGGAGCTCATGAGTTCTACTGTAGTACACTCTCTCCCATATAAACATAAAGCTTTACTCCTTTGCATTCTCTTAATGTGTTTATAAAGAGTTACGATGTAGGCTAAGTAAGGTCTTTGTTTTGTCTCTGTAAGTGTTCAGTGTACTGAACCTGTTGCTATTATTACCAGCAAAGCAGTAAGTGAGATGACACTATTTGGTGGAAAAACTATCTAAGATCCTTCAGTATCGATCTTTATAGATATTGCCCTTGAATACTGTACTGAAGAGTTTCTCTACCCTAGAATCACTGAGGCTTGAATTCTTAAGTTACCCAATTGAGCAAACCACAGGAATGAAGATAATTTAGTTTCTTTTCCACCTAATTTTAAGGCGCTGAATTAACTGCAAGTGTTAAGCTCTCTCTATACATATATAGGGACTTATTTTTACTCTTCATCAATATATTTCTAAAAAATTAGAAAGCATAAACTTAGAAATGATGCACCTATCATAACTTTATATTTAGAATTATCATCATCATTGATTGTTTTTGCAAGGGTCAGAATCATTCAGGGTCTCCTTCCATATTCCATTTAAATCTGACTTTTAATTTTTGAAGTCAGAGAGTGAAATCTGTCCACACATATAGCAATGTACCTATGATGAGTAGATGCCTATGTGCACTATGAGGCCTACATGAGACTGCTCAAGCCAGATATCTATGGACTGTAGAGTAAATCTATTATATTACTATGACAGAAATACAGAAAAAATGAATAAACTACCATTACACATTGCACGATGACTGCATGTTACAAGAATAACAAGAATTTGTAGCCTAATGAGTTTTTCTATATGTATTAGTACCAAAGTATTAAGACTAAATCATCGTATTAGTATTGTAGTCGTTATCTAGGAAAGAGGAAATTCTTTGAGCTGGTAAGTTTTATATCTTGACTTGTTATACAGATTCTTATTTTTGGAAACATCACTGAGATATGCTTTCATGTTTTAGGTGATTTGTATACATGTGCTATATATTAACTTTGAAAACATTTTTAAATGTTATAGAAGTTCACATTCTCTTTTCATATGGTGAAGGTGAAAAGGAAGCTATGTTTTACAAGGTTGCTGGTTGTTTCCTTCCACCTCACTGCCTTCAAGTCCCCCAGCCTGCTCAGGGCTCCCTCAATGGTCTGGTCCCTGTACTGAGTCTGTCCATTTGTAGCATAGACCAGTTTATTTTGAGTGTAGTAGTTGATAAACTCCTCTGCTACTGTGTGGATAACTTACTGTATTAACCCATGTAATACACATGGAAATTTATATAGAGATCAGATAAAACAGAATGTGGGAATTTTACTCCATTACACCATTAATGGAGTTTTGTGACTATGTGGCTGGGGGGTGAAGAATGGAAGAAATAAGTAAAAATCAATTTGAAGTTCTTGAAAAGCAATTTGTGTGGCTTCAATTTTTGTAGTTGGAAACAGAAAAGTTGAGTTAAATATTGCCCTTTTCTTTGTAGCACATGTTTGCAATAAAAAAATGCAGACTTGTGTTTATAGCATCACAATTCATAATAGCTAACTCTTGGAAGAGGCCTATATGTCCATCAACAGATGAATGAAGAAAATATGATGTTCCTACACAATGAAGTACCAGTCTGCCATTAAACCAATAAACTTGAGGCATTTGTAGGAAAATGGATACATTTAGAGTACATAATATTACATGAAATAAATATTTTCTAATGGTACTTCCTCCACAGTAGAACACTATGTTAAAGCCAAAGGCTGGGGAGCCTTAGCTCACTTCTACCATCTACTCTTCCTTGATAGAAATCAGGGTTCCCTCACCGTCCAGTTATCAAGAGCTCTTTCTCTGATGCCTGCTTCCGTATCTTTGTGTAGATATCAATGGTGAAGAGTGTGCTGGCACTGTTGAATATGGAGGTCAGGGAGCTCATGAGGGAGGCCAACATGACTGACAGCATTAGGCCTCGAAGTCCTAAAGCCAGGAGAGGGTTCAAATATTAGTCAGAAGCTGGATACTATATTCTAGAAGTACTTTGCTAAACTGACAACTTTGATTAGCTAACATCATTATTATGAACATGTATTAGCATATGGTATTTTCTGCATTTTTCCTGATTTGAGAATAATTAAATAATTGTAATTCTAAATATTAACCTAGATGTCATCTACTGGAAAATTATTTTGGAAAAGAAGAAAGAATCCAGTCTCATTTCTTTTTGGAAGAGAAACTCTGGAATTTCTAAGGACTGAGAGAACTGTAGAAGCCCTGTAGGTGGAACTTCTGAAGAGCTCTTGGTGAACCAATATTTGGGATTTAACTCATTATTGGGGTTTAACACTTCAGTACTTTCTGACCATTAGTAATGATCCTTAAACCTCCTGGCACAGGGTAAGAGGGGTATACATGAGGTTATATCTGTGGATTGTGTTCTTTTCATTCTTAAAATATTCAGGGAGAAATCACAAAACTGTAGCCAAACTTTGATGGGCATATGGTACAACATCACCTGATCCTTTTTACAGATCTGCACCCTATTTTATTTTCCTTACCACAATAATAATGATCTTCTGAAATCCTTGTTATTTACTTATTTAGTAGGCATGATTTATTTTCCCTCTTGTAAAATTAAAATATGCATTCCAAAGTGTAGAGGGATTCGTGCTTATTTCACTGAACTTTTCTAAAAGCCAAAGCAGTGCCTTGAAAATGCATTTAATAAATATATCTAAATCAAGTAGATTGAAATATGTTCTTTGGGTATAACTGGTCTAAAAATGCAAAGTAAATAACCTCTGGTTCTCTGATATCATAAAATTATAGCTATGTAATTCTTTTATTGACAAGTGGGACATTCAGATGTTTTAGAGTGAGTTAGTTGAAGGAGAGCCTGAATCTGGAAGAGTAAGATGCTTCCAACAGGAATTGTTCATTTTTGAGCTCCTTAGGACCATCATATTTGTGACAGCCTAAGGGAAGTGCTTAAGAAATGTCCAATTAGTAGAAGTAAATTAATGAATATTAGAATTATCAAGTATTATTTCACGATTCTTCTTAGCCCACCTATCTACCTGTCCTGCAAGTCTGAGCATGAATATGTACTTACCAGCAGGCATCAGGTCTAGCACCATTGTAGCGTAGGCATAATTAGTGCAGCCATTTTCAGTGCCACAGTGTTTCTTACATTCAGAAGGTACAACACAGGCCACCATATCTGAGGAGATTTTCAGAGGCAAGTTGAATGAATGGGCCTCAATCAGGCACCATCCACAAATGTAGAAGAAAGACAAGATGAGCAGGAGGAAAATATTTTCCTGGAAATTGAATATTTATCTTTGAACTCAGTACTATAGATTTGGTTACCCTTTGCCCAAAATAGAACCTAAATTGTGTCTTATTCTTGCCGTTCTCCCAGCTCTGGTCTCTGGGGAAAGAGCTGCTTTTTTGTGTGGCAGGGCTAGTGAATTAGAGCAAATAAGGAGCTTATCACTCCCTTTAGAAATATAACAAGAGAACTAATTCTCTGAGATGCAGTGAAGTCCAGAAATAAACACTAACACAACTACTTAGGATGCTAGATACCAAATTGACTCACATTTGTCCTGCACTGTGTACTTCCATTTAAGCAGTGTAACTTGTTATGGTCACTTGGGTACTTACCCATGAATGATGACAGTTACACAATGGCTTGATATAGTTTTTGCTTAGACCAAAAACCAGTAAACAAGTACTATAATAAGATCATAAAAACACTTTAGTACATTTTCTTTTAAAAATATTCTTCTTTTCTCTTTTAATTCTTGCCCACAAAAATGTCTTTTGTGTTATTGTTATGATAATATTGTGTAGTTTTATTTCTATAATTAACATGCAATCTCTGCACTTTCCTCATTTTTATTAGCTGGTGTGCAGTTTTTCATAAGGATAAGAGATAATTTTAGTGAAGTAATTATTTGGCTGTTCCCTGACTGTTAATTGTCCCTTTTTTCTTTACTGATATAAAAAAATGCAATGCTGCAGTAAAGAAGGATGTTAGTTCATTGGTTTTAGTTTTTAAGTAAAATGAAGTAATGTCTGGCTGAGAAAATAGAGTGAATAGAACATTATTTAATGGATTATCCGAATAGAAATAAGTCCTAAGAAAGAATGGGGTATATTTCCTGGACTTCTCCTAATAAAGTTTTATTTGCTTTGTTTTGTTTTTTTATTTATTTGTTTTTTCATATAAGAAAAAGTATGCAATATTTGACTTCCTCAGTATGGTTTAATTTCCAACACGATGATCTCTAGTTCTATTCATTTTCCTGTAAATGGCATGATTTCATTTATCTTTATGGCTGAGTAATATTCTGATGTTTGTATGTTTATTCACCTATTCATTCATTTATTGACACCAAAGTTATTTCCATAAGTGAGCATAGTGTGCATGGTACAACTGTATATATGGTATGCACCTGCCACCATACTATGGTCTTTTTTGGGGATATTCCTAGAAGGTGTTCAGTTCCATCAAGCATCAATTCAATGTTTAGCTTTTCATGAACTCTCCGTACTGATTTCAGTAGTAGTTATATTATCTTCCATTCCCTCCAACATAATTAGGAGGGTTCATTTCCCCCTGCATCCTCATCAGCATCTGTGTTGTTTTATATGCCTGATGATAGTCACTTTTACTGGTGTGAGATGGAGCCATAATGTAGTCTTGCTTTACATTCCTGTAATAGGTAAACTGTACTTTCAGATACTTAATTTGACTTGAATTTTGTCTTTTTTTTCATAATTTTATTGAGAAACAAATAGCAATGAGACAGTTTAAAATCAAATTGGTAGGATAGTTTCAATATTTTCCACATTGCATACATTCTTCCTAGTGGTTAATTGCTGTACAAGATGAGGACATGGCATCCTATTTAAAAACACCATTAGAACAAATCCCTCTATTCATTAAGAGAAAGTAACTATACATCAATCCTAACCACTATGACTGTACAGATACAAAATGAACATTCATCTGCATCCCCTTTATTTGTGAAGTTCTGTTCTTTGAATATTATAGGTGTGTAAACTCATCAAAATATTCTAAAAGAGTCCAGTAACCCATAATAGTATTGGGTCTTCCGCTTGACTGAAAGTGTCAGAGAATGTTCATCGGAGTCCCCTACAGCTAAACATAACAGCATGGCTTTACTTCTTATATTTCGTTTTTATACTTTTCTGCTGGATGGTTAAGACCAAGGTAAAGCAGGACCTATGCAA